GCGGATCGCTGGTTGATCAAAATTAATACTTCGAAAACGCAGGTAATCCATTGTACTAAAAACGTCGCGGTGCCCCCTCAGAGATATCAGTGAATGGAGCTCGTATACCATGGGGGTAATCTGTCAGGTATCTTGGAGTCATCATTGACAAGGGGTTGACCTGGCAGAAGCATACTGATATTTTGAAAACAAAATTCCAAATTATCTTTCGGCAGCTTTATCCTTTGTTGTGCAGAAATTCAAAATTAAGTTTGATCAACAAGATTCGGTTGTATAAAATGGTCATAAGACCAGCAATCACCTACGCATGCGCGGCTTGGTGTTTTCTTGCCAAGACGCACATGCAGAGACTGCAAGTCCTGCAAAGCAGAACCCTACGTACAATTACTAACGCCCTTTGGAATGTGTCAAATGAGACCATTCGCAGAGATCTTGATATCCCATATCTAAGGAATTATGTAAAACAACAGACGCAGCGGCGTTATATTCAAGCCGAATCGCACAGCAACCCTCTGTTGCGTGATTCAGTATATTACACAGTCGAGCAAGTTCGCAAACATTCTAGGCCTCGTCTCGCACTGTGATCAAAATTAAATTGTAAATTCAGACCAGCTAAAACTATTTCAGTATACAAAATCGATCAAAATTATTTTTTGGAGCTACAAAATAATTCGAGTAGTCAAAGCAATAGTGCTTGAGCCGTTTCATATGGTTTACTTCTTTTCTTTGCTCTATTTCTTCCTTCCTTTGTTCCTTTTTTCCCTTTTCCCGTTAAACATGTTTGGTATCTGGGTAGCCAGACCTGACAGACTAACAAACCGACGAGACTTTTAACTAAGAGCAAAGGTCCACCGGACCAGTCTGACGAATAATGACGAATAGTCAGCTTCAGTTATCAATGTTTGGCTCTCATGTGATGTAAAGTCTGCTTCAGAGATGGCATTACGGGAAGTCTAAGCCGTAATTTGTGTACTATACCTAGGAGGAAACCTATGCATAGGTGCATAGTGAGGATTTGTGTGCTAATAATATACGATGACGATAATTTCATTGGATTCTTCTCTCAAATACACTTACTTGAGATTCAAAGCTGGATATTATATAAGTATGAACATAACCTGCCTTCCGAAAGGATAACATGTAAATAACCCGTCGGGTACAGCTGAAAGATGTACTTCATTTTCAGCATATTCAGTTATAGTTTTCTCACACGGCAAATATCACTGATTTTATACACATGCAGACCAATACACATAATCATCCAGATACGATCTTGCTATCATTTCATATCTTGTCAGAGATGAAAACTACAGACTGCTAGGCTTTACAAAACATATGCAACCAACATATAAATAACTCGTTGGGCACATAATCATCCAGATGCGATCTTGCTATTCAACCAACTCTTTTCTCAGAGACGAAAATTACCAACTACTCGGGTTCACAAAACATATGCAACCAACAATGCGTGTAGTTTAGACATTCCTCCATATATGGTCGCTCACAGCGGTCATAGCGAGCAAACTATTCGCACCCTAAGAACTACCTAGTCTGCAGGATGACATTTTATTGTTTTTTTGACGCTTTATAGGTTTTTTTTACTTAAGCTTGCTGCACCACCTTCGGGCGTGTTGAGTGGACACACACGTGTCGCCATACACCTGTCATCTGACGATGAATATCCACGTGGCGTGCAAAAAGCGAGTTATGTAACGATTATTGCACTTGTTGGGATCAAAAGTGAAAAGCTCCATAGTGGTCGAGACCGCGATAACAGCGGTGTTGTCGGATTTCGCCTGGCACCTTCCAGTGTGGCTGAAGCTCTTTGGGAACCTTATTTCTGAACCAATCCTTGTACCTTGTACCTATAGCGTAAAGTTTGAATTATTGGCCCGGAACGCCAAATTCGAGCCGTGCCTATAAAATGTCGTCTTGCAGACAAGGTAGTTTTTATTGTGCAAACAGTCATAGTTTTTAGGGTGCAAACAGTCATTACGTTACGTTTTTTTGTGTCTTCCTTATCCTTCAACGCCCGCGTTGTGTGTAATTACTGTTAGCATCTATATGAATTATAATTCGACAGTGTACAGTGAATATAATTATTTCTTATCTCTTTCATTTTTGAAATCCAGCAAATTTGCATATGTAATTTCGAGATTGGATAAGAAAAAGTGCATGCGCAGCTAATTTCTAGCTTTGAATCTCAGGTAAGTGTATTTGAGACAAGAATCCAATGGAATTATCATCAACACATATTATTAGCACACAAATCCTCACTTTGTACATATGCATTGGCGTTTCCTTTTAGCTATACTAGTGTACAACATACAGCTTAAACCTCCAGTAAAGCCATCTCTGAAGCAGATTTAATATCACATTAGAGCTAAACATTGATAACTCAAGCCTCATGACGTCTAGGCAAAACGTACAACTACAAAACGAGTCCACAACGAGTCCATCAATTAGTGCTAAGTTAACATCTTGTAGAAAAACCTACATAGTGTCACAAAAAAACAATGTAACAAAATCGGCATGATCAAGATACATAATGTCCGTGCGGGTGCCGGTTGTTGATGTCGTTGCAGCAGTAAATAAATTCAAACAAATCAGACCGACGATGAGAGTAAGACAACTTGAAGACAGAGGGCACTACAGTTACTTAATTACCTTAGGACGTAAAGTCCGTGTGGGTTGAAAAGTAGGACTTGATGCCAGAAAACCTATCACCGACCCATCGTAGATAAATATTAAAAAAAGGGATCAGAAATGGGGATTTCTGGCTCTAACTTTGTATAACGCATGATATGCTATGTTCAGAATTTTTATTTGGAAATAAGATAGATCTGCTTTCCATTCGATAATGTATCAGGTCCTCTTCTAGAAAATCTTAGATTCGGCCTATTTTTAATATGTCGTTTAACATGGGCGCCCGCAGGGGGAGCAAGGCGATCGTTGGTAAGAGAAAGAGGTAAGAGAAAGGGATAAGAGAAAGAGATAAGAGAAGGATATAAGAAAAAGAGATAAGAGAAGAAAGAGATAGAGAAAGAGATAGAGAAAGAGATAAGAGAAAGAGATAAGAGAAAGAGATAAGAGAAAGAGATAAGAGAAAGAGATAAGAGAAAGAGATAAGAGAAAGAGATAAGAGAAGAGATAAGAGAAAGAGATAAGAGAAAGAGATAGAGAAAGAGATAAGAGAAAGAGGATAAGAGAGAAAGAGATAAGAGAAGAGATAAGAGAAAGAAGATAAGAGAAAGAGAAGATAAGAGAAAGAGATAAGAGAAAGAGATAAGAGAAAGAGATAAGAGAAAGAGATAAGAGAAGAGAGATAAGAGAAGAGATAAGAAAAGAGATAAGAGAAAGAGATAAGAGAAGAGATAAGAGAAGAGGAGATAAGAGAAAGAGATAAGAGAAAGAGATAAGAGAAAGAGATAAGGGAAAGGGATAAGAGAAAGAGATAAGAGAAAGAGAAGAGAAAGAGATAGAGAAAGAGATAAGAGAAAGAGAGATAAGACAAAGGGATAAGAAAAGAGATACGAGAGATACGAGAAAGAGCTAAGAGAAAGAGATAAGAGAAAGAGCTAAGAGAAAGAGATAAGAGAAGGATAGAGTAAGAGAAAGAGATAAGAGAAGAGAATAAGAGAAAGAGTAGGAAAGAAGAGATAAGAGAAAGAGCGATAAGAGAAAGAGATAAGAGAAAGAGAAGATAAGAGAAGGAGATAAGAGAAGAGATAAGAGAAAGAGATAAGGAAAGAGATAAGAGAAAGAGATAAGAGAAAGAGATAAGAGAAAGAGATAAGAGAAAGAGATAAGAGAAAGAGATAAGAGAAAGAGATAAGAGAAGAAAGATATAAGTGAGAAAGAGATAAGAAAGTATAAGAGAAAGAGATAAGAGAAAGATAGATAAGAGAAAGAGTATAGAGAAAGAGATTAAGAGAAAGAGATAAGAGAAAGAGATAAGAGAAGAGATAAGAGAAAGAGATAAGGGAAAGAGATAAGGGAAAGGATAAGGAAGGATAAGGGAGGAGAGATAGAGATAAGGGAAAGAGATAACGGAAATTGAATGGATTCAAGTCCGTTAGATAGGTCCATAAAATTATTCCATAGACATTCTTTCCCTGCCCTACCCGTAGTACCGTCCATCTGGCAACGTCGCCTTTCCCTACTGCCTGATTGCACGATGCATCAGACGAGTCAGCACGGCAAAGTGTCAGTCATGCGAGGACACTTATGAAGGCACGCCGGCCGGTGAAAGCAGACAATTAGCACAGGGACGCGTGTCGCAAACATTTCTCTATCGTCATAAGTTGCAAATGTACAGGTAAATCTATGATGTGTGAAATATATCTAAGCGGTGCTTAGAATTATGGGGGTTGGAAGTGTATTAAGATACTAACATAAAAAATTGCAATATAACTTCACCCACCCCCCAACGTTTAGCCCAAATTTTTCAAAAATAATCAGGATCCTCTGAAACGTCAAAATACGAGGTTTGATTTATATTATTTTCGTGTTTTTGCCCCTAGCTCCGCCGCCACTGGAGCGATTTTTAAAATCTACAAAGCTTTTTCGTTCCCGGCATGTTGATAAATTTGTCTGAAAAATGTCATTTACATCCGAGCAGCTCTGTCCAAGTTATAGACGGCTCAAGGATTTGCGGACAGACGACAGACAGGCCCTCGGGAACGCGTGACATGTTTTTGTGTGATGTAAATGCCATATAACATTCAAAAAATATAATATCATAATATATCTTATTCGAAATTTTTAGCATTTACAATACTTTCTTTCCAGAAGACGCATGGAAGTAAAAAAGAAATAGTAGACAGGTTTCCACCTTAACACCTAAAGACGTTGGCCGGTAAGAATATAAGAGTAGTTGCAAACTCAAATGTTGTGGCGCTACGGGAGTGTGCTTATTTTCACGCAAGCACAGTGTTCAATTGTTAATGTTATTATTTTGATTCATGCTTTGATTGAAAATGAATTGGTTCTGTTCCTACCTGCAAAAACCAAAAGGAATAGAAGGGTACCCATTCCGGCTTATAACAAGCCAAAGGTAAAATATCCTCATCAGAAAAAAAAGTCTGGCAACAAAATCCGAAAAGATTCGAAGTACATGAGCAGGCGAAGATGTACATGGCGATTTTTAGTTTGCTGTAGTATATTTTGCAAATGTACTTTTCCTCGTCTGTCACATCCAAGTCAGACTCTTTCCAAAATGTGGATCTGACGTATTGGAGCATTTCGGAAATCTGTTTTCTGTTGAAGAATAAAGAGAAACTACGTTGGATACCCTGTGGAAAAACATACATAGACATTATACGATTTTTTTTTCAAATTTCGAGATGTTCTTAAGATTTTGTATGGTTGTTTATCCGAATATTAGTCTAACCATATTAGCAAATGTCCCCAAAATAATTGTAGTTTGGTTTTATTGATGCAAGTTGTTTATGAGGGTATTTAAAATATCGAAGCATAAAATGTGTAAACCAATTTTTGTGGGAAAACTTTTTATCCGACAACAAACAATGAATAAATGTGTTTTTTGGGATTCAATCGAAAGTATTGTCAGGAACGGTAACACTCTTCAGATGAGATTTTTAGGTATTTACGAGTCCTATAAAACGAGGCCACACGTAAAATGATACGACTAATAGCAAAAAAGTTATCGCCGACAACCGTGGCGAAATGCAGGTTTTGGCACTTATTGGTAATGCAACGATCATTTCACGCAGATACTTGAAATTCTCTTCAGATCCGTAGGCTTTATACTTCTAAATAACCACAACGAAATTGGAGTAGATTGATCAAGTAGCTTTTGAGAATTCCTAATTGTTTATCCCGTGTTTTCTGGCCATCACTACTTGTTTATTGAGCGACATTCAGGGTTCGTTCAAAGGGCATTTTATGGCACAAAACACGAGTTTACCGTGTCGATACTAATGACAAACTGTTCCGGAAGATAAATGCTATTTTTATGCGAAAAACCAAGGGTTATCTTTTTTTCTTCAAAACAAATCAAATATTTCGTATTTGTGAGTAATTCACAGATGCGCCACGATATTCTAAAAACATGTGTTTATCACCTTCTGTTGCGAAGAATAAATAATGTTTTCAAGATTTCTTCATACTTTTATATATATCTATATATTTAAATCTGACATTTTTACACGGCCGCAAATGAGACTTAAGCTTTATAGAAAAAAATTATTCCATACTGAAATGTACTGCACTGTACAAAATTCTGCTTAATAAATTCTTTGAAGACATGAATAAAGAGTGTTTAATCTTTAAGTTTGCCAGCTTACATTGTCTATGGCGTGCGCAAAGCTGTTTGATCACAAGAAAAGTACAAATAATTTGAAACATTTATTTCGCCTATTGTAAAAAAATTAATAGAAAAAAGAGTTTTTTCGTTTTCTCGAGTTTATTTTCCAATATTTTGAACTCGCATTCGTTTTAATCGTACGAGATTTCGAAAACAAACGTATACTATATCAATACTTTTAGAAAAAAAGTCCAGGTAATTATATTTCTTCGTAAAGAAACTGGATTGCGAGAGTGCTTATTTGACAAAGTCATGCAGTCATCAATAATGTAGCCATTTAGCACATGCTACATACTAACTAGGCTAAGACAGTTTGAAACATAATTATTGTGTCCTCAGTTTGCGTGTTAACTTTATAAGTAGTTCAGGACATTTGACTATGAAATAATATTTGTTATAATCCATAAGGCTCATCTGTGATCGTGTAAAAATTTCAGCTATGTAATCTATGCATAACAGTTTTAAAAAATGTTCTCTTCTTAACAATATATCCGCTTTGTTTTAAAATGTGTATAATAAAGTCTGTTTTTCAAATATCGTAGCTCATCTGTTCAATTACTCATAAATACGAAATGTTTAAATTTGTCTAGAAGGAAAAATGCAACCCTTTGTTTTTGAATAAAAATAACATTTATCTTTCGGAATGGTTTGTGATTAGCATCGGAAAGGTAGACTTGTGTATTTTGCTATAAAATTTCCTTTGCACCAACCCTGTATATTGCTCAATAATCTAGATGGCCGGAATACAGGTATTTTGGGATAAGCAATTAGATATTCTCAAAAACTACTTGATCAATCTTCTCCAATTTTGTTTTGGTTATTTAGAAGGATGAAGCCTACGGGTTTGATGAATATCAAGTATCTGTGTGAAATCGTCGTCGCTGCAAGTTCCAAAAATAAATATAAATAAATTTTTTGCCATTAGTCGGATTTTCTTACGTGTGGTCTAATTTTTTAGGCTTCATAAATACCTAAAAATGGTAACTGAAGAGTTTTTTCGTTCCTGCCAACACTTTCGATGGAATTCCAAAAACGCGTTTTCCCATTCTTTGTTGTCGAATAAAATTTTTCCTACAAAATTTGGTGCACCTATTTTATGCGTTCAATGTATAAACACTCCCTTGAACAACTTGCATTAATAAAACCAAACTGTACAATTATTACGCAAAGCAGGGGTATTTTCGCCTAATATGATCAGACTATATGTAGAAAAGCTTTGACAGTAGAATACTATCGTTCGTCCATACAGTCTCCACGTACTAATTTTTAGGGTCAAGTTAGCAAGTCAGAACTCTGGATAATGAAGCATGAATACTATATTCTGGCATTAAAGTGGCAGTTGAAAATTTCAGAGTGGCGGCTCTTCTAAAGTCTTTGTACATTGTTATATTTAACTTCTTCTCTAAGAAGGATGTATCCGTCCATCATTCCAATAAAAAATTGTCCAAATGAGAAACATTCATAACACATACTATAACGTTGTTGTTGATTAATTATTGTTGAGTACAGTGTTCAGATTCAATGTACAAAAACTCTCAACTTCGACAGCCTGCCAGTCTGACAGTTTGTTAGACAGTGATTTTATATTCGCGGGTTATAAAGTACTTATAAGTACTTTACTAATGACCATACCTCTAGCGAGACAGACAGACTCCAAAATATGATTACCGTCGGTATTATTCTGTACGTTACAAAGTCAGATAGACTGTTATTAGATACTTGGGTTGAATACCGCCAGCCTCATGAAATCTAATAAGGCGTCGTCGAAAGAATGGGAATTGGCATCAGATTCGTTATCTATGTTATTCACCAATAATGGGATTCTAGTCGATACTGGAGGTGCGTAAAATTTTTTTAAATGTTTTTCCGATAGTATCATTCAAACCATACTTTGAAGAATCATAGTGCAAAATTTTCACTTTCCTAACTAGTACCTAGAAAGAGTCTGTCTGTAACCGAAGAGAATGAATTTATAATTGAAGGGTTTGGAAGTAAAAAGATTCAAGTGCACTTTTTCAATTAAATGGTCTAAGTGCAGAATATCACACCTAAAGCATATCCTAACTTGGTGATTTAACTGCAGGCAACGTTCCCTGTCGCCATCTCTCATAGTCTTTGAGAACATATCAAAATATCCACTAATACAGTATGTGGTAAAATGATTCAAGTGCACTTGAACCATTTTACTTCTAAGGCTTTGGCAACTATTTTTAATGTTTTACGTGTGACGTGATTTCAACGTTTTACTTATTCTTAGTTAAAAATACGCATTTTGCAGTGTTGGTAGTGTTATAATAATAAACAAAATGAGTACTGATTGGGAACGCAAGGTATCTCTCAGGAGAATTAAGTATCAATAAGATGTACAAATTATATCAGGAGTTTTGTATTGACAAACAATAATTACCAGTAAAAGAGTCCTATTACAGGCATATTTTCAATACGGAATTCAATTTAAGATTCCACAAGCCCTATAGTGATACTTGCAGTTGTTGTGACAATTCACAAAATTGAAGACGTGATTAAAAATGCCAAGCAAGACCTCGAACTGCACCAAAGAAAGGCCCAGAAAGCAACAGATGCTAAAAAAGCTGATATTGCTGAAAATAAAATGATTCTAAAAATACGGCTGTAATTTGTTTTGATTTGCAACAGGCATTGCCGACGCCATTGTTAATCACCTCTAAAGTATTTTATCTTCGTCAATTATGACGTATAAAATTTCTGTGTCTTTGACTTACTGACTGGAAAAAGTTATATATATGTATGGAACGAAACTATTGCATCCAGGGGCTCACAGGAGATAGGATCATGTTTAATAAAATTTGTGCAAAGCCTTACATCTACAGTTACGAAGATTATTGCATACAGTGATTCGTGTGGAGGACAAAATAAGAATAAAAACATTGCTAAACTATTTAGTTTTATTGTTCAAGCTACACATATATCTGAGATTCATCACAAGTTCCTTGAACCCGGAATCTGACCGTAGTTTTCGCTTAATCGAGAAGAAAAAAAGGCAAATCCCTCAAGTTTTTGTCCCCGCAGATTGCGAGACTGTAATAAGAGGCACATCGGCCAAATTTATTGTGTACAATATGAACAAAGACGATTTTTACTCTTTTTCGCCGTTCAATGAAATTATGAACGATCCAAAAAAATATAGTGACGGTTACCCCTTAAAATGGAAAGAAATTTGCCGGTTTGCTTACTATAAAAGTAAAAGACTAACATTTCGATACAAGAGTACCCTAAACATTGATGTAGAGTTTAGCAGTTGCTTAATGGCAACCTCAAAAGTTGAGCGTCCGTGTTTTAACTTTTCAATACTAAAGCCTTTGAATGGCACTTCAATAAAGATTAAAGTCGCCAAGTACAAAAACTTACTTAGCTTATTGGAATACATTCCGCCCATTCACCATACATTTTATAAAAACATGAAGCACGTTGGGAAAGCATTAACAAAAAAAGGAAAAAAGAAACAAACTCAGACCCTGACATCAAGCCAAAAAGTACCTGATATAGATGAACCCCAACCAAGACTAGCTGATTCAGATGAGGAAAATGTTGAAGACATCCAAATATTAGATTTTGATTATGAATAAGAAATTTTGTTATAGATTATTAGATAGATAGATTATTTTTCAATAATGTTTGGTTTAGTACGGTAGTTGAAGTTGAATCATGTTACCACCATAATTTTTGTAACATGTATTGATTCAAGTACATTTTTGCAAAAATGACAATAAAAAAGCAAAACTAAGAAAATGTTTTTTGTTCGTAATGTTTTATTGGCATTTAAATAAACTTAATATACGAGTAGTATCATACTTTGATAAATTTATTCCTAGAATTTTCAAATTCAAGTAAACTTTGAAGCCATTTATCTCAGAACTACTAAAAATGTATTTAAACCCTTTTACTTCCAGGCCCCTCAATTGGGATATGAAGACGAATCTAAAGACACTTCAGGTGCCAAATTCATTAAATCGTTTGGGCTGTAGTCCGTATAATAGAAATAGAATAGAAGGCTGATACATAATCATAATGTACAAGAAATACTTAACGATAAACTGTTCTTGAAGGTTTGTCAGTCAAACCAACCTTTTATAAGAGGTATGTAGATGATTTTCTACTCTGCATACATAAAAATCATATCATAAAGCATCTTTAATGACGTTAATAATCTTTATTCCAGACGGCAGTCCACAAAGAAATAACTTTTTCGATATAGCTCTCGAATATAACAATGAGGGTTATATTAGGAAGAATTTGTATACCAACGATGAATGAAAGATATTTAAATTATGATATCAATGTTCCAAATAGCTACAAAATGAGTGTTATTAATAGTTTGTTAGACTAGGCAGCTTTACTGTTACACCATAACGACAGGCGTGCTAGCCAGAACCTTTGTTTGCCAGTAAAGACACACACCAAATTTATAATAAAAAACAAAGTATTGACGAATAGAACAAGAAGTCTATATGAATGCTTTATGTTGCAGGGCTACTTGAAAATATAAACTAATTTCAAAGCAATAACTAAAAATGGTATCAAGTGGGTTGGCTCTGCAATTCCTACGTAACGCTGTTTTCAACTCATAAAGGACTAAGTTCAGAGCAATTTAAATCATCTGAGAAAAAAGTCAGTTATGGACAAGTACAACAGAGAAACTAAACGTCAGTCAGTCTGACAGGTCCATACAATTAGTCGATAGATATTCTTTCACTGTCCTACTGGTAGTTACCGTCCATTTAGCAACGTTGTCTCTTTGCACATTTGCGCGGCATCGCTGAATTATGTTCCTTTCGTGCAAAGTCCGTATATGCGAGTATATGTTTTTGCGCGTCAGTATAAATATAGACATATCAGCCGGACCAGTTTATCAGAGGGTGAGCTTAGATAGGCAGGAGTACATGGATTGAAAACATTTCTCTATTACTCTAAGTTTTGAGGGAAATTGTACGTGTAAATCTATGATGCGTGAAGTATGGCTAATAGGTGCATAGAATTACCGGGGCTGGGAGCGTATAAATATACTAGGATAAAAACATCGTATACTCTCCCACACCTTCTACAACTCCCAACTCCCGAATTTCAATCCTAACAAAATGACCAGGATCTTTCTGGAACGTCAAAAAACGAAGTTTGAGTGATTTTCATTTTATCGTTTTTAGCTCTCTCCGTCGATACTGGATCGATTTATATAACACCCAAAAAACGTAATATCGCATATTCAAATTTTTTCGCGATTACAGTACCTCCTCGCCCAGAGGCGTAGGAAGTGAAAGCTTCTTTTCAAACAGAAAACCTCCCAACGAGAACGATCTGCAAATCAACTTGATTTACAAAGTAGCATGTACGAGTAGTAGCATTCCCCAAGTTTACACATACATGTATATAGGACAGACAAAACAATGTATTAGCATAAGTATGACAGGAAATATAAACAATATGTCCACCGTTTTAGCCATACATGCAACTGACAATCGGAATGAGTTTGACTTTACAAATATGAGGATTCTACAAAAAGGACTATTTATAAAAAACATTCTTGAAATGATATAATATGTATATGTAAAGAAAGAAATTTCAAGTATAAATTATAGAACTGATTTTTGTATATATGTTTTTACCTTTGTTCTGATTTCATTTTATTAGCAAATCTCTGTCGCCAGCCGTTGACCTACAGTCAAACTGCCAATACCTATCTGTCAGAATTGTGATTATTTTTGATCAACTAGTAAGTGTTTCTGTATATTAGGTTTACACTTTTGAAAAAAATACGCGTTTCGTGTTTCAATTTTTTACGCATTTCTTTATTTATAGAAAATGACATGTACCTGAAGATGACGTTTTAAGTTTTAAGACACCCAAACGCCCAACTTATGATGTATAATGTCTTAAATTGACCGAATCCCAAGAATTTATAACTTGTCTTGCGATGTGTAATCGGCCCCCTGAGAAACAATTGGGAGAGCGCCCACGATTTAAGATTTATACTTACGTGTATAACCAAGGACATTCCAGAGAATGTTTCAGCAAAATCACCAATAGTTATAGTGTCTTCTTTATAGAATAACAGACTGATTATTAAATATATGGTGATCCAGTTACCAATCGCCAATGCTACAAAAATGGATAGCTGACATTTGTTGTGTCTCATATCTGGATGAGCCCCTACTATCCAAGCCATTGTCAAACATTTTTCTATAGTGTAGTGAGACATAATCGATCTGAAAATAATAGCGCTGTGAAAATTCTCGTAACGTTTATAAACTTAGTATTTTGTGGTGCACTTTTCAAAAATACAATGTAATATTCACAATGTTGACTCAAAACTTGTCTTTTAATTGTGAATTTTTGGGTACTCTGAGTCTTCGGTTTGCTGCAAACATTGCTATTGGACATTGTCAACTAAAGAAACATATTTCTGATACTGCCTACAAATATCTACTTAATAAAATTTTCTCAGAACATTATTATCGTTTTTGATGAATTTTGGTTTGCTCATTTCAAAAATAACCAGTGTTTGTCATTAATTGCAGTTTGAGATTTTTCAAATTACTTGCACTTAGAGTAACTGTGTATTAGTGGATTATCCGAGTCTCTCACATTTAAAACAATGGATACGAAGAAAAGACGTTGTTTGAACCATCCAGGCAGTGCTTGTTTTATTTGTGATGGATATCACATGGCACAGTATCGAAAATGGATCACAGTCTTCCTTAAATCTGCGGAATTTGACTACTTTGAAGTGAATATTTGCAATCTATAGAAGCCTAATGCTTAACGACAAAACTGTGTTATTTCTTTGCGGAAATAACCCAGTGGAAAAATATCTATATTTGGATTCAAATTAGACAAAATATCGTTAACTAATTGTACTCTGATTTATGAATCGCAAGTAAACTTTGGATCACCGAAACGACATATTTCCAAGTTGCCCTTTCAAGCTTGTTCACAGATTCCACAAGATCTCTTTAGACAGTTATTTCATTTGTGGTCCAATGAAAATGCCTGCTTTCAACTGTTCATTCCACAAATCACATTTAGATTCATGGCTTTATTCTAAGGTTTCCATGTTGTCAAAGTCATGACATAATGATGTCGATGAAACTGGCACTGATCAGAGTCTGTCAGATGCCGCTGAGCAGAAGACAATGTCGGATATGACTACCTGTCACAATTTTTAACGGCGCAAAAATTACAGTCATGATTTCCGCCAAATCACTGGTGTGTTGAATTCAATTCCACTGGACCCGTACAGCAAATCTGCTATAAAATATTTGGCACCCATGGCTTCTGTAGATTGCAATTATTTACTTAAAATTAGTTGAAGTATGCAGATTTACCGAAGTCTGAGGTTTATTAACGATACTTAGTGAATATATATTCCCCACAAATAACTCAAAACCAGTCTAGCTCGTTTAAACAACGTCTTCTCTGTATAGACAGTTTATTTATTTACTAGTCGAAACATGCATCGTCATATCAAATTTGGGTAGTTTAAGAAATCTCACAAACTAGAGTTGCTACACTAACACTGATGTGATGTTATGAAATGACATCACCTCAATGCCTCAAATGTCAAATTCTGAGATAATTTTATGTAGATATTTGTTAGGCAGTACTATTTTCTCTCTAATGCAGAATACAGATTTTTAAAAAAGTTGATGGAAAACTTAATAGCTTTTTTCCATCGATTTACGAAGAATGATCTTACCTTGGAGATGATTGATGTATACTGGTAAAAAAAACTGATGATTCAATATATAAGTTTCTAATGGCATCAAGAGCTTAAGTGTCCCTTGTAATTATCTGTAGCATTGTTGGGTGTTGTGTGATATAAATGAACAAAGTAAAATGTGGCAATTAGATGCATTTTAAATGAAGTAGACTGAATAAAGAGTAGGTGTAGTGTCTTTGTTAAGGTCATCTTTGTTATAGAATGTTTGGTTATTGATATGGGTTGTAGGAACATTCACCGGAAGAACGTTTTTATCCACAGGGCGTTCTTTATTCTGCATTCAAAATAAAATGGAGCTTTCCTTATGGTATACTATACCCAATCTATCCTTCTTCAATTATTTATTTTAACTCTTAACAGATAGCTACCAGTTAGGTCCTCATATTATGATGTTCGTAGGATATTAGGTACTCAAAAATTATATTTTTCGGAAGCCTAATCCTTTCGCTAGCTTGTTTGATATCTATGGAATGCGCTGATTTTTGCGGATGCTGTTCCTATCGACATAAACTGCAATTGGACGCGTCACCGAATAATTAGTCGGAATATTTTCAATAGGCAGGGTGAAAGCCGCGACTGAAACCCGCTGAACTATTTTCTGTAAGAAACCGTTAAGCATAAATGCTACGTTAAGACCGTAGATACATGACATGAAATCAACGTTACCATTCAAGAGATTTAAGCGCGAACAATAGATAAAGTTTCGACAAATAGACTGACCCTGCACTTCCCTCACAACGCCGTCATCCGTTTACAAAGGTATATATTCAGCACATGTTAGACCCCCTGAGAAAAAAATAGGCAGTCAGTCAAACAGTCTCATAAAATTAGTCCAAATACATCCTTTCCCTTCACTACCAGTAGTACCGCCTGTCTGTCAACGTCGCCGTTCCCGCATACCATCCCATACGACGCGGCAGCGCGGCACAACGCCAGTTGTAGAAGGATATGTAGATACCGACACGGTGGGACTTCGGGAAGCTGGACTTTCTTTTCGGGCAATTGCAGTTAGAGTGCAAAGAAGTGTAGACACTGTGGTTAGGTGTTGTCAGGCAAGGCCGTACGCAAAGAGCAAGGGGCACGCCGCCGTAGAACAACAGACCGTGAAGATCGCCGCCTAAGATTATTGGCCTTAAGGGACCGTTTCTCCACTACCAGGTCCATTGCAAATGAATGGTTTGCAGAACACGGAAGACCTATTGGCATGCGAAGTGTTTACCGACGAATGAGAAGTTTTGGCTTGTTTTCATACCGGCCACACTGGGTCCTCCTTTTAGCTCTGAACACCGACGTAATCGTCTTGAGTGGTGCAGACAACGGTCACTCTGGGATCAGGAATGGAACAGTATTGTCTTTAGTGACGAGTCTCGATTTTGTTTAGGCATGCACGATGGTTGTGCCTGGGTTAGAAGGCGACATGGTGAAAGGAGGAATCCACACTTTTTGTTGAAAGACATGTTCATCACACTGTTGGAGTTATGGTTTGGGGTGCTATAGCTTATGGTTCCAGGTCACCTTTAATCTTCATCAGAGGTAACATGAACGCGCAACGTTATATCCACGAAGTTCTAGAACCCCATCTTTTACCCTATCTTGACACCCTGGCAGATCCAACTTTCCAACAAGATAATGCCCGACCACATGTTGCAAGAGTCACAATAGACTTCTTTCAACATAATGATGTCACATTGTTACCATGGCCACCAAGATCTCCCAACTTATCCCCAATTGAGCACGTGTGGGATATGATGGGTAGGAGATTGCTCAATTTGCAACGACCTCCTCAGACTCTAGAAGCACTTCGAGAGGAGTTGGTGGTTGCCTGGAATGAGATACCACAGGAGGACATTGACCACCTGATCAGAAGCATGCCTAGGCGCGTTGGAGAATGCGTAGCACATCAGGGTGCATCCACACATTATTAAAGGTCAAAGGGCTTTAAAGCAGTGCAATCATTTTGAAATTTTTATCATTTACTTATTATGCTTCATTAAGTACTTATACAAAATTTTATTAAAATAAAACCATTTAAACTGGGTGTTCGGATTTATATGTCACTTAGTATATTATGTAGTGTCATTTCTGATGATTGATAAGGCACCATTGAAATAGTTCACTGACAGTCGCCAGTGACTCACACGGCGGACAATTTGTTAATATGGTGATGCTATGTATGCTATTATTTTTCATCCAATTCGTTATGTGTTGTTTTTTCAATGAGAACGACCTAATATCAGGAGGTGTGGATGCTATATTAAATATCTGGGCCGTCTCGTCAGTCGTACCTACAATAATTGTAGGACGCCTTTATGGTTTCCTCGATTTTCATAGTTTTCTACTGTTTCGTATCAGCGATCTATTTTGAGATTATAAATAATTGCATTAAATTGTTCATGACTTTACTTTATAACAACTGTTTTTTTTGTCTTCAGCGTTACCGCTGTTGCTAGTTATGTAACTTTTTCCTGTATTTTTCCTGTAATTGGGTGTCACTTCCCGGGAATAAATAAATAAATGAATAAATCTGTTACATCAGCCCGAAATTTCCTACGATTCAAAAAGAAAACATAGCTTCACAATAGGGGGCTTACGCTGACACGGAACAGTAGAAACTTAGAAATACTCCAGCCTTTCTGCAGGCGAGAAAAGACTATGAGAATCAAGGAGGCCATGAAGGCGTCCTACAATTATAGGAATGACTGACGATATAGCCCTTAAGCTCTTTGAAGGTTTCAAATAAGATAGAGCCTTAGAAAGATGAGAAGCTAGTTTTATTGTGAGTAAACAGTAAATATATAATTGAAAAACGTGTTTTCCTAGAAGATACCTATGCTGTATTTGGATGTTGTATAATTTCCTAGAATCGCAACAATTTCCTTAGAAGTAATAAAAAGAGACTCCTGTTTGCTTTTAAACAAAATCATTTATCCTTAAACATAACATCAACCTTCCAAAGAAAGATCATCGCTCAACCTCTGTTATAATTGTTCCTTTGATTTCATATTCTGAGATTTTCAGAATGACGGAAAAGGAAAGCCCATAACCTACAGAAACAGCCCTAGAGGTGGCAATGCTGACACCTAAAGACAGAGTTTATTGTTGGATCCAAAAGCCCTGATATTTTACTTCAATGGAAGTATAGTCGAAGATAAGTAGAGAGAGTAACTAACTTCATGTGCTGACGCAAACTTCCCCAAAGACACTCTATATGTACTAATATGTGTGTAGAATTAGCGGGGTTATAAGCCTATGAATGTACTACCAACAAAAACTTGAGATTTACTCTCCCACAACCCCTACAACACCTAACCACCAATTTTTAACCCCTACAAAATTTTTCTTGTTTGAGCAACTTTTGCCTATTTTTCTTTTGCCCGTAAATGGTATATGATGGATCAGGAAAAACTATGTTACTCATTCCCATCGGTCTGGCAATCTTTTTGTCGGGCTGTCTGTTTTTTTTTAATAATAATATTTATTCACTCAATGTACACATGTTGGTATGCTTCTTTATCTGTATGACTGTCTGAAAGTCTGCTAAGTTAGATTTTGATGAAATTTTCACACAGTGTTACTACTAT